ACTGCCTACAAATACTTTACACACTCAAAGATGTATGAGGAAAGATAACGCACGACGATTTTTGCCTTTGCAGTTTTGGTAAAAAGAACGCGAACAAACCAGGCTATGTGACCCATATCTGCTACTGCTACCTGACTATGTTTCTGATGACGAATCCACGACGTATCTCGAAACGTCAGGCAAATAAAAGTATTTTCCCAGCGATTGAGTTGTCTTCTTCTCAAACCAGGGTATGTAGGTACGCAGGCAACCGACACAGCGGCCTCGCTGCCAGTCTCCTTTGCCTTTGCAATATGACCCTGAATAAATTACTTTGTGAAATTGCAGTTGCTCAAAGCGGGAGATGAATGTACTGTCTCGCCCCCCGATCATGTTCGCAGATTTGGTCAATGAATTTTAGGCCGAAAGTGAATAGCAAAGAAGCACACAGTACTGTTCACATTCTGAAAAAAATGATCCGAATTAGCACAGCGTTTGCGTCTATGATCGTCCACTATGCGCGCTGCAGACTTAAGCATCTGCGGAAACTAGTGTATCAGGATAAACGGCCACTCTTTTCTCAACCATAAAACGAGTCAACCGCAAACAGATGTTCGGCAGTAACTTTTTACAACCAATGCCTATAGGTCTTGATGTTAGTTTGATTGAAAGAAAGTCACAGACCTGGAACTTTATCACCGGTGGAGAACGACTCCTGTGAGCTCGTCGATTAAATATCGCCGCCCATGGTGACTTGCTTCCATCATTTTACAGTCCAGGAATGAGCTCTCTGTCCTCAACTCTCCTAAGTCCTAAATGAATATGTATCTACGTTGTTGCCGGGTTATACAAACATATAATTATGATAAAATCAGACGTGCGACCGATAAGGATGTGATAGCGGATTGATCGTAGACTCTGCAGGGACCAGCAGCCATTTTCAATTGGCAACGCTGCAGGCAGTTGATGTGGTTAAGTTAATCCTAATAATTGTTGACCCAAACGCAAGTAAAAATAATAAACAAAGGGAACTTTACGCAAGACTATCCGAATGACGGGGATTACAATTCATAGTGCCCTTCATAAGACGCGAATGCGCCCTCGCTAGACGGGAGTATTCAAAGACACAACAAAAAGATTGACATCAAAGAGCAGTCCGATTTTTGATGCCCTTGGCTGTGACATTT